TTGAAAAAAATAAAGGCGGATTACTGAAATCCACAACCGCCATCGGACAGCGCACTCAAAACTGCACATAAATTCATAGAAATCTCCAAAGTATCGTATGATGATAACCTACTATCTACTTCAAAATATAGTGTCCGTACCTATTGTTTGAAGAACAGCTTGAATAATTGTCTTTGTACGTTCTTTTTTTTGCCTTGTAGGCTCTTATACTAGCATTTAACATTGGTATCAAAAATAAATTAAAACAAATTAAAATTTATTCAGTATCATATTTGTCGATAGGCAAATATTATCTGAATAAACACAAACAATGTTCTACTTAGCATTTTTCTTTTAGTATGGAATCTCAATTATGACAATCCGGTTAATGAAAATCTCATCAAAGAAATCTTGTTTTACGTGGAAAGATTCAAACAACGCTTGTAAGTTTGAGTTAAGAAAAGACAAAACAATATTATATTGTTATTCTTAATCTTTTTCTGTTGTCTAGAAACTAACTGATAGAGAAAATTATTCAATGTACACTGCCGCACAAGATGATGCTCGTACGTATCTTGCACATGGTTTCAAGACGAGCGTTTCTGCAAAAGTAGTTCTTCGTCTCATTTATCCTATTTGATAGCCATAACTTGCTTTTTTAGTACTTTTGTCCGCTTTATGATACTACACTTGATGGACTCGAACATGGTATTCATTTACCCTTAAAATGTATCACTATTGTTGAATATCGAACGAGATGTGTTCCACTGCAAGGTAATGAATCAACAAGTGTTTAATGATTTATCAAAACGATCTGGCATTACTAGTCGGTTACTGTTAGATAAATTCCAACAATACAATGTTATGATACAACTTCTGTACGATCTAACGCATACTTTGTTGGAGGTGCATTTCAGAGGCGGCGAAACCATTAGGCTAGGTAAGGCTTAAGCCTTCCCGGATTTGACTCTGTTAGGCTGAACCTTACCCCATTTTGATGTAGAATTTTGAATTTAGCACTATGTTATTTAGATAATACTTGGCTACATTGACAGAAAGGCCTCATTTATCTGAATAAAAGACCAAAAGACGTTTGGCTGCGTGTATTAAACTCTGCTTTTTTTCAGTGATCTTAAACGCAGAGACTAACATGAGATATGTGCAGTGAGGACAGAAGACTGGATCAGGATAAGATGTTAACTTTTGGCATCAGGAACGCCAAAACACCTGTAAATATATATTGTCTTTTGTTCAAAATAGCGTAGTGATCCTTTAACCATATAGATATGCCACGTTTTTCAAACAAATTTACTTTGATTAGTCTAGCGCAAACTTTATCCGTTTTTTGGCCTTTTTGCTAGAAACGTCACTCTTTTTGGAGTCTGAGTAAAAACAGCTTGGATTCATGGAGCTCGAGTTGATATTTTATTTTGACGAATTGAACTCAAAAAAGTATTTCCTTGTTTGCTTGCTAGTTCTTGTTACAAAAACTTCTATTACGGAAAACTGCACTTTCTCGAAAAACTTTCTAAATTTGCTGCTTTTCTTACCGCGAGCCTTACCCCCAATTGGGAACGTTCCACTGCCTCTGGTGCATTTGTATTGATTTATTGAACAACGTAGTACAAAATCGTTTTACAATCGACTAATTCTGTGATGCAGTTAATAATCATATCTGCAATATGGCAACCATGAAAAACAATCAAAACCACATATGGACATGGATCCTACGTCGGTTAGTAGCGTAATGATATACAACTAACGTCTGCACAAATGTTGAATTTATTTATAAAGGACTAATTGCGACAAGGTCATTCTTTTGACCACAGTATTTTCAAAAAATAATCATATATTCAGAATCAGCATCGAATTCTGAGTAAAATGGCATGTTTTTTTCTGTCGAAATCGATTTTTATTTTTCTCAACTTAAAAACTGACGAAAAACACGAACTTTTGGGCACTTCATGACCCGTTTGTTTTCATATTAAGACTTAATCCATTGACTGAAACACATGGTTCGAATCAGTTTTTCACGATCTTTCTAAATATGACCTTTAAAATGGAAGAAAAGGCTTAGAATATGGTCGAAATTTGAAAAAGTTCGTGTTTTTCATCAACTTTTCAGTTTTGGGTGGACAACTTAATCGAAACTTGGCTTTAAACGTCTCATTTTACAGGATTTGGACAGAGCAAACGTTGTTACATAGTCTAAGTATGTTTCAACCGTTCAGACCTAGTTTTCAAATATTCTCTTTTCAGTAAGTAATTATTTGAGAACGTTTTCTTTACCAGGGGGACTATCCACTTAAAAAATCGTGACAGTTACCGTGCTTAGCAGGACACGTTCTGACAGATATCTCTCTTTAAAAAATGTGCATTTGTTTTGAAAACATTTTTGCTCCTTTTCATTTATGCAATTATACCAGTTGTATAAGCCTCGAAAGAAAACATCAGTTTTTCAAAGGCAACAAGATAAGTAATTTTTTGAATCCGGAAGTGACATTATCAAGGTCAATCGGCTATACTTTCTTCTATACAGTATGTAACACTAACACTTTTATCTTTTAAGAAGACATACGTTTTGGACATGTTGCGTTGATTACAACAGTGACGGTTCTTTATCCGAGAATGTTCTTGGCCATCAATTTCCTAATATAATAGTTGATGAAACATCAAATGATATTATATTAAAATATGATTTAGTGAGTACAAATAATTCGTTATCAAAAGCTGTTTGTAAATCCATCAGATTAACCAATATTGAATACCAACAACACACAGTTGTTTGTACTACAAAATTAGGAGAAAATGCCGTGAAATTTGCTACATTATATCTAATGCCACAGTTATTTTATCTACTATCACAGAAGAATATTCACTAGCCCTACGTGCGCATAAAATAAAACAAACAAACGATTTGACATTAAAATTGTATAATGATATAAAAATTCAGTGGTCAGCAGACAAAACAGCGGCTCGGGCTGCAGTGCATGCATATGCACAGCTGTTTCATGCGATGAATTATAGATGACTAATTTTTCTTGTTACTATCATATTTCTCTAAATTTTGTAACGTTTAATAAATATATGATACAACAAATAATGTTGTCTGTGGAAAATATAATCAGAAGTGTCCAGGTTCACCTCACTTGTCTAACTTTAAAAGAGGCGCCAGCGTCATTGCTGGTATTTTTTTATTTGATGGTAGTGTGTTTTACATTTATCCACTTTGAACTTCTAACAATAACGACCACAACAACAACAGCAGCTATTGTGAAGAAACCAAGAATCTCTCATTTTCATCGAGATAAAAACTGATCTACTAGTATAATCACCAAGGGGGAAAAACCTCACTTTAAGTGTGTGCACCTACGAGTTAAGTGTCACTTTAAGTGTTTAAGTTCTTAAGTGACATTTAAAGTGACTGTCACTTATAAGTGTGTGCACCCTTTTAGGAGGTCGTTCCCCCCTTGATAATCACTCTGAGAATTTATACTTTTATTTGAACAACTAGATGCAATTTTATTATTACGCGCAAGTTGAAGATTCATAATTTTGCGAAATCATCTCTAAAATGATTCATAGGATTGCAGAGTTGGAATGGATACTGTGGGTACACTATTAAAAGCAGATGAAATTTATTCAACATTCTTTTTGTATTGATCTATTTCAAATTAAAAGGCATACCACTATTTTTCGAATAATTTTTAAAACATTATGGTTGTTATTATTTCAAATAGAGGCATCTAGCTTTTACTCTTCGACAGACAAGATAGGGACAAATTAAGTAATCAATAGAAAGTTATGGATGATTACGAAGATGGTTAATATTTAGTGGTAGAGAAATGATCTCAGAGTTCTCTAAAACTTGTACACGGATGAAATCGATAAAACGTCAAACAATTCGCTAGTGAAAACCTTACTCCAATCTTACTAAGGTCTTAGTAAGATTTCGCTTACATTTGTCTTAAACAAGAACAAACAAGTCTTACAAGATCTTAAACAAATCGTACTAAGATCGTGAGACCCGAAAATTCTAAGATTTGATAAGATTTTTCTGAAATCTTAGACAAATGTAAGCGAAATCTTACTAAGATGTTACTAAAATTATACTATCTAAGATTTTTTCAAGACTGGATAAGAATCGGTTATGATCTTAATAGTAAAATGTTTTTTAAATAATATTCATTCCATATTCGCTGAAAATTTTTCAGCTTTTAATCCGCATTATCCAAAGAAGCAGTTGAACAGGGTTGAAGAATGAAGAGAAATTTCATATTTTTGGGTGTCTAACTATGGACCTTGACCTGCATGTACACCAAGGGGTAAACGACCTCCTAAAAGGGTGCACACTCTTATAAGTGACAGTCACTTCAAATGTCACGTTTATTTTTCTGTTTGAACAAGATTTTAACAGTAGTGATTGCTAATTTTTCCTCCTTACGGTAAGAAAAGTAATAGATTTCGCTTTTTGCTCAAAAGTTACGTGGTATTGAATGTTTATGTTGCTTTATAAAAAGAAGTCCAGAGGTATGAGAGACCTTTTTTCTCGTACACATTTTAATGCACATGCGTGTATTAGGGCTATTAGACCGGCAGCTAATGCCTAACTAATATTCTTCCCTGATAATTGCCCTTGTTCAACTTTAAACGTTCGATTTTGTTTTAACTATTTAATTGTTCTCAAGTAAAATTATCAGAATTATGTATAGAAAGAAACGAGAGAAAACAGACGAAAGAATAAGATAGAGACTTTACTCGATGACGTTACTTCGGGTGAATAGCATCCATAACTAAACGAACGATTAGCAATAGAGAAAGAGAAAGGCTGTGGTAAAACCATCACCCGTCTATACATAGTAAAATAACAACAGTAAAAAGAAAGAAGAATAACTGTTGTCTTGTCACTAAACCGGCTGATTTATACTGGAAGAAACAGTTATTAGTTTTCGGTTTTTTACTGACATTTGGAGCTGCTTTCTAACTTTGTTCATTAAAATGATGAAAACAAACAGACTCGTATGACGTGGAACAGCTGCAGTCCATACATTTCAGATCTCAAAACATATAGAGCTGAATTCTTGAATTTCCAGAAAGATGCGGAATTTGAAATGACACTTAAACACTTAAAGTGATACTTAACTCGGAGGTGCACACACTTAAAGTGAGGTTTTTCTCTCTTGATGTACACTCTCTAAAAAGTTGTTGAACACTTTCAAGAGAGCAAGTACTAGCAGAGTCTGGAAGAAAAATAGCCGCAAAATCACTCATATTATCGGTATTACTTATATAGATGAATGAGAGCAAAACAAAAGGGTGAATGAAAGTAGAGTCATTAAATCTTATTAAGATCTTAAACGATAAGATCGTAGATTATCTTATCAAAATCTTAAAGGATAAGATCTTAGTAAGATAATTTTAAGAATTGCCTAAGATTTTTACTAGGGTTAACTTCACAAAAATGGTGGAAACTGATGATTAAACTGAAATATATTCAGTAACTATATAAAAATAAAATAAAAGTAAAATATATTTAGTAAGTAAGTGTGTTGATTATTCAGTCTGTATAAACGATAGCTAGTTAGAGAAGTTTGTTTCATCAACAATGACTTTGAATTACAATATGAATATAGTATGTGTCTGTCTACTTGAATGGAAGGTGTAAACCCTTTCCGATATCTATACTGAATTATTCAACCATTATCATTCTGCTCTAACAAAAACCAGTCAGTGGTATCGCGACTAGTTTATAAAGGGTTTTGAAATCAAACACTCATTATTAAAGTTTTAAATAGATGAGTACGTCTACTTCTTTTTTGGAAACGATAACTGGTAGAGAAAATACAACATTCATTCATATGTCTCTTTTCATGAATGAAATTCATGTACATATAGTTGTTTTTTAACCTTGTACAAAATAATATAATTATCATATATATAGTAAGTAGTTAGTAATTACTTGATTGTAGTAAACAAATATTCTAAGTTGACATATTTACTTGAATGGCATCAATTACTAGTAAACGAGAGAAAAGGTTACAACTGACACAAAATAATAATCCTTGAAATTGTATACTATCATTCTCAAAAACATATATACTTTGGAACGCTACAAACAGAAACCGCAGACAACAAAAAAAAATGATCTATTTTCATGTATTCATCGTACTGTTCAGTTTCTATCATCAATGCTATTGTTTACCATTGTATAATACGGAAAACAGTATTACATATTATGATGAATGTCGTATAACTGTTTCACCGCGTATCGTTGGTAAACCAATTCGTACGTATGCTCAAATACAAAAACCATGCAATGGCACTTTACTCTGGTCTTATCCAAATAATAATTTAACATTGGAAATTATTAATCTTGAAAATGAACAATTTACATTTTGTATTGATCAAAAATCTCTCAAAGATAAGCTAATTCGATCAATAGTTGGAATAAATAATGATCTACCAGTACAAATGATTATTCAAAGTGATCTTTCATGTGCAACAAGTACCAGTAATAAGTTAACATTGTTTATTACCGCTGAACCATTGTATGCTGGCATTTATCTACAATACGCAATGTACAACAGTCAACATCCATGGAACAACGGAGCAAATCCATGGTGGCAAAGATCAGAAAAATATCTATATGGACCACCATCATCCATGGGTGTTAAACGTGTTAAAAAAGGAAATCGACGACGAAAATTGATTCATGGAAAAGAATTAACGATAAAACGAGTATAAAATTAAGGTAAGGATAGTTGAATTCGTACTGTACGTTTTCTTCTCTTCAGGGCTCTTATTGAGTAGTATGATTAATATATGAAAAAAATAGTTTTGTGGTGATTGGTTTTTGTTTTATTTTATTAGGAATCCAACAATTGACACTGTGACATGGTCCTGTCATGATGAATTTCATGTCCTCCCAAACAAGTACTGGTACTCAGGAATTTTGTATCAATTTTTTTTTCTCATATTTTACCAAAAAGCCAAGTTGCCCCTTTTCTCCCAAACACAAAACACAGCAGTAGAGTATTAATTTTATCCTTAGTTGTTATCTAATCTTAATTGAAAAAAAGGTTTTTTTGCGTTATTATTGTCTGCTTTTCTTATTACAATTTATTTTCATCAAATAAAAGCAATAAAGGACAACGAAGGAGTAATTCAGTTATTTACACAAACAGTTTGAACGGAACTATACTTTCCTGCAGTACAATTTAAACACTATGGATCGGTTATAATCAAAGATCGGAGATAACTAAAAGGTACTCATAAAAGTAAAGTGAATTTAAACGATACTAATGGTTCAAGGATGAGTGAAGCAAAACCGGAATACATTTTCTCTTCTTCGATGGTAGTGACTGTCTCATCAATCAATTTAGAGCTGTGCACAATAAGTTTTCTGTTTATGCCGACAGTATCGTATGATGTTACCGAATCATCAAGAATAGTTATAAAAGTAGCGTAATCTCCTTTCTCACTTAACATCTGGTGGCGTAACCACAGTGCGGCGAAGTACGACAGCGCCGTACCACCGAGATTTTTTGCCGTGCCACCGAGAAAAAGTATAAAATCGGGTAAAAACAACTTACACTACCCTAAACAAATGTTTGAAAAAAACTACGGCGCCGCCGTACTACCGTCATTTTTCGTGTTACGCCACTATTAACATCGAGCAGACAAAACAAAACAATAGTCAAAGATGATCCTGACGCTAAGGACAATAAGGAATTTAAAGATAATCAAGCCATGAAACGCGTATTCTTGAAAGACGAACAGTGAAAACAATGTTTTTCCATTCTATATTTGTAATTTTAAATAGAAAGAAAAATACATCGTTTAAATAAAATTTTGAGGTTTAAAAGCAAGGAAAACGTCAGTTTTATCGTTTGTCTTTTGTGAACTTGTCCTAACGAACTATGTCAGAAAAGCAAAATACGCAATAATCTTCGCAAGCTTGATAAAACTGAACGACCTACTTCATCCATCAGATGTTTAGATTCAACTGCTGAATTACCAGAGAAAAAGTGTTCAAATCAAAAAAAATTCTTGCTTGTGATCGCGTGTGAAATTATAGAAAGTTGACATGTGACCACGCATTTCATGTCGCAATTACACAAGAAATCTATTAGTTCGGTTCGGTTCTGTTCGAGAAAGTCCTTAATCCTGAGACCCGGTTCGACTTCAACTACTTTTTGTTTGAAAGCTGAAAAAGAATATCTGAAAAAAACTGCACGAAAGATAGATATCGTGCTTAATTTAGTTAGGAGCTCCCTCTCCCCATTTAGATTTTTCTCAAACCTTCCCAGTTTGTACAAGAAACTTCAGGACATATACAGGCTGCGTAAAAATGTTTTTCCAGGGGGGGAACGCTATAATTGCGAATAGGGTAAGTAATGAATTTTATACCAGATGAAAGCCCGTCGATAACGGGATTTATTGATGCTAAATAGTAAGTTTTATCAAAGCATTTTAGTGTCGAACTTAAGAAAGTT